ATCTTGGCTCACTGCAACCTATGCCTCCCAGGTTCAAGCGATTCTCCTGCCTCAGCCTCCCGAGTAGCTGGGACTACAGGCGGGTGCCACCACACCCAGCTATTTTTTTTTTTGTATTTTTAGTAGAGGTGGGGTTTCAGCATGTTGGTCAGGATGGTCTCCATCTCCTGACCTCATGATCTGCCTGCTTCCGCCTCCCAAAGTGCTGGGATTACAGACATGAGTCACTACGCCCGGCCGAAATCTTGGATTTTTAAATAAAATCTCTCTGTCTTTAAATCAGGGAAACTAATTCATTCACATATAGGTGTATATTCACACACACACTTATATGTACGTGTGAGTATATTTTTTTAAGCAAATACTGCAGCAAAGGTAAAACCGGTCCAGATTTGGCTTATTATAAAGTATATGGCAAGTTTCCTTAGGACCTATACTTTGAAAAAAAACCCTTCCTTGGGACGCGTGGACGAAAGAAAAACAACAATGCCCCAAATATGGCAAAGAGTGTGCGAGGTTCTCAGGCCAGGTAGTAACCTGTATCTACATCACACACCAGTTTTCAAATTGCTTTGCGAACCACTAAAGATCCCATTAGTACCATGAACCCCTTTGCTGATATGTGACTAAAAGGTAGAGGGGGCAGTAGTAAGGTTAATGGAGAGAGACAAGGGAGAGGGCTAAGGGTTTGCGTACATATGTGCATGTATATACACATTGTCGAGGAGAGGTGGCAGAAGTTATGGATGGAGCAAGCCTGGACCAGTCGGTGGCTGGACAGAGCAGGGGACAGGTGCCCCTGGTGTGTTCTGGCCCCAGCTAATTTGGGAAACAGTCTCACACTGGATGGCTCGAAGACGAGGAATGATGGTGGGGCTTGCAGGAGGACTTGAGCGGCTGTTGATAAGACTCTTCCTTTTATCCATGGTGGGGGAGGCCTGCACCGTGAACTTGTGCTGGAAATCTGCTTGGGGAAAGACAAACACATGTATGCATTAACATTTCCCATAATCAAATTCATGTAAGAAATCTGACATTTCTCAGCATCCTCGAGGGACAGGCCCCAGTTTCCTGAAAAGCTCTTTGTTCACCTGGGAAATGTTCTCTTTTAGAATCATCTCTTTTTCCCAAGGGACATGGGGAGATGAACGTATAAAAAGATGGGAAATTCACTGTGCAAGGAACTTCATTAGTGAGCTTCATAAAGTTGTCTATATAACGAATATAGTTTGAGCAATTATGTATTAAGAATAGCTGTTTAACTCATGAGATATTGTTGATTATTCTAGGAAATTTAACTTAAAATTATTGGTTTCACATAATCTATTATCAGATAGATTTGGTCCGTTTTTCTCAGGGACTGAAGCAGGGACACTGATTCTTCTCACTAACTGCAGGCAGAGCAAGGTTTCAACGACTAGCCCTTGTGGGAACCTAGGGCAGTGAGGGAGAGGGAGCAAATGGCTCCAATTCGGACACATTCCAAAGGAAGTTACAGTACAGCATAAAGAATGTAAAACTTACAGCACTGAATTTCTCAGTTTCAGTCTCCTCATCTATCAAAGAGGTATAATAAACAGCTGCTTGCTTGCACCTATGTCTCCCCATTAGACTGTGATCTCCCTGCAGGTGGGAACTACAGCTTTTCTATCTGCATCCCAGCATGCAACAATATGCTGGCACATGCTAGATGCTCAAGGGGTGCTTAAAGACTCCATGCTGTCTGAAAAGGAAAAACAAATGTGCAGCAAGGAAACATGGCTTGCTGAGTTCCCTTATCTGTACTTAATCAAGCCACCATTCTAGTGCTCAACATCATCTACTCCTGCCCCTATTAGACCATTCTTTCTTTGTTCCTTACACTTCTTTTTTGAGATGGAGTTTCACTCTTGTTGCCCAGGCTGGAATGTAAGGGCGCAATCTCAGCTCACCACAACCTCCACCTCCTGGGTTCAAGCAACTCTCCTGCCTCAGCCTCCTGAGTAGCTGGGATTACAGGCATGCACCACCATGCCTGGCTAATTTTATACTTTTAGTAGAGACAGGGTATCTCCATGTTAGTCAGGCTGGTCTCAAACTCCTGGCCTTAGGTGATCCACCAGCCTCAGCCTCCCAAAGTGCTGGGATTATAGGCGTGAGCCATTGTGCCCAGCTTGTTCCTTACACTTCTAATAAGCCTGCTTTCTAGGGCCTTATAGACTTAGAACACAGTGAATACCTTTATCTACATCAACACACATTTTAGCATTCAGCTCTCTCCATGGATATATTATACACCACAAAGATTCTAATTCATAGTTTCATATTTCTTTATATTTTCCCCAAGGCTGAAGTACAAAAAATGCACCTCTATTCAACTGATGTATCTGTCTGAAAGGTCACATGTAAATCTTATCAGGTAAATTACCATACATTAAACCTAATCTCAACTGTACTCAGAGGACTAATTAAAGAAACCTCAGCCAGGTGTGGTGGCTCACACCTGTAATCCCAGCACTTTAGGAGGCCAAGGTGGGTGGATCACTTGAGCTCAGGAGTTTGAGACCAGCCTGGCCACCATGGTGAAATACAAAAATCAGCCGGCCGTGGTGGCACGCGCCTGTAATCCCAGCTACTCACGAGCCTGGGGCAGCAGAATCACTTGAACCGGGGAGGTGGAGGTTGCAGTGAGCCGAGATCACACCATTGCACTCCAGCCTGGGCAACAAAAGCAAAACTCTGTCTCAAAAAACAAAAAAAAAGAAACCTTGAGACAAGTTATTTTGCAGAGCCAAAACTTCTCATGCCTCACATATGCACACCCTGGAATGTTTCCCCCCAACTTCATGCTTCCTTCTCCAGGTTTGCCTAAAGTGAGATGTGCTCCTGTGAGCCACCAGACTTCTAGCAGCCTGGACCTTGCCAGGTTGTCCTTACTTCATATTCTGTGTTCACTCACGTGCAACAATTTCCCTGGAGTCGGGTAGATTTTCAGCATGCCAGTCTTTCCACTGAACAGAATGGCCCATTTCAAACAGGCTGGAGTTTGAGCCCCAGGGTGTCATGTTTCCAAGCTCAGTCCCCGGCTCCCATAAACCCTCTGCCACACCAGCTGCTTGCCCTGCTCCCACTTCCCAGCTGGTCCCCGGCCACTGACCGGAAGGGAGGCTGATGCGGTTGCCATCCTTGAGCTTCAGCCGGCTCTTCCTGAACTTGCCCTTGCGTTTCTTCACTCGGGGCTTCTCCTGGCACAGCTGGTGGATGATGATGTTGAGCTCCCGTTCCAGGATGTCAATCTCCCGCTCCGCCAGCTCCTGCTCCCGACGCCGCAGCAGTTCCTCCTGGTTCTTCTGCTGCAGCGCAGCCCGTGTCAGCTCCTCCTCCCATGTGCGAAGTTCCTGCAGGAAGAGCAGAACCATCAGAGAAAAGACTGGGGTGCTCAGTGCAGAGGGGCTCTGGGGTGAGGCCTGAGAGCCCTCAGAGGGCTCATGGTGACCTGGAGAGTTCTCCTATGATGCTCAGTGAAGAGAGTGGATTAGATAGCTGGTAAATGAACATCAGACCACCTTGAATGGTGGGGAAAGGAAGGCTCAGAACAGCCATACTGAGGGGACAGCCAGAGAAGCTAAAGCCACAGGCCAAGCCCTAGAGATGGGGGCTAAGAGTTCTAGTTGCTCCTTTCTTCTTCATTAAAATTGCCATATATATATATATATACTGTCTCTTATACACATCTAGATGTGTATAAGAGACAGATATATAGGTTTGACTAGAAAATATAATCATGTATTTATTTACAGACTTGGTTCTACTTTACTTTCTATTTTTTGAGACAGAATCTCATTCTGTCATCCAGGCTGGAGTGCAGTGGTACGATCTCAGCCCACTGCAACCTCTGCATCCCTGGTTCAAGTGATTTTCATGTCTCAGTCACCAGAGTAGCTGGGATTATAGGCATGCGCCACCAAACCTAGCTAATTTTTTTGTATTTTTAGTAGAGATTAGGTTTTACCATGTTGGTCCCCTTCCCCTCCTGGCATCAAGTGATCCATCTGCCTCAGCCTCTCAAAGTGCTAGGATTACAGGCGTGAGCCACTGTGCCCAGCCAAATTTTTTCTATTATATAAAAGATGTTTTTTCACCAAACGCAATGGCAACAAAAGCCAAAATTGACAAATGGGATCTAATTAAACTACAGAGGTTCTGCACAGCAAAAGAAGCTATCATCAGAGTAAAGAGGCAACCTACAGAATGGGAGAAAACTTTGCAATCCATCCATCTGACAAAGGGCTAATATCCAGAATCTACAAAGAACTTAAACAAATTTACATGAAAAAAACAAACCCCATCAAAAGGTGGGTGAAGGATATGAACAGACACTTCTCAAAAGAAGACATTTATGCAGCCAACAAACATATGAAAGAAAGCTCATCACTGGCCACTAGAGAATTGCAAGTCAAAACCACAATGAGATACTATCTCACGTCAGTTAGAATGGTGATCAGTAAAAAGTCAGAAAACAACAGATGCTGGAGAGGATGTGGAGAAATAGGAAAGCTTTTACACTGTTGGTGGGAGTATAAATTAGTTCAACCATTGTGGAAGACAGTGTGGCAATTCCTCAAAGATCTAGAACCAGAAATACCATTTGACCCAGCCATCCCATTACTGGGTATATACCCAAAGGATTATAAATCATTCTACTATAAAGACACGTGCACACGTATGTTTATTGTGGCACTATTCACAATAGCAAAGACTTGGAACCAACCCAAATGTCCATCAATGATAGACTGGATAAAGAAAATGTGGCACATATACACCATGATACTATGCAGCCATAAAAAAGGATGAGTTCATGTCCTTTGTAGGGACATGGATGAAGCTGGAAACTATCCTTCTCAGCAAACTAACACAAGAACAGAAAACCAAACACCACAAGTTCTCACTCTAAGTGGGAGTTGAACAATGAGAACACATGGATACAGGGAGGTGAACGTCACACACCCTGTGGGGGGTGGGGGGCTAAGGGAGGAAGAGCATTAGGAAAAATACCTAATGTAGGCGACGGGTTGATGGGTGCAGTTAACCACATGGCACATGTATACCTATGTAACAAAACTGCACATTCTGCACATGTACCCCAGAACTTAAAGTATAATTTAAAATAATAAAACAAAAAACAAACAAAAAGATGTTTTTTAAACCAGAGCCAACTTAATCCAGCTTAAAATGTGTCCACGGTACATAAATCATCCTCCAGGTAACACCTAACAATCAAATAAAAATATATTTCCAGGGTGGCTGCTCAAAAGCTATGTGAGGCATGTCATCTGAATCTTTATGTTCACTTGAGGAATGAATCCACTGAGGTATGTGGTTTCAACTTTCACCTTATCTTAAAGGACAATGATTTGCCCTGGAAGAATCATGAAAGCATAGCAAGGAAAAAAGAGAACATTTCCTGAGGTCTTTTTCAGGTACTTGCTCTAGAACCAAATTTGGCTGCTGCTCTACACACTCCACTGAAATGAACTGTTCAATGAGCACAGGAGATGCCACCGCAGAGCAGGCTGTGCCCCTGCAAGTTTGAAGGACAGTCAGTCACACTGCTAGGGGGAGAGCTGAAACCAGAAAGCTGGAGGGTGAAACTGGGACAAAGTCCCATTTGGAATTTCATCTTGTGACCCAAGAACGGTCCCTTCTGTCCTGCGCTGAGAACAGAGGCGGGAGCCACATCAGATGGCAGAACCTCTTCCCTACCTCCCTTTTCTCCTTCCTCATGAGTTCAGAAGTGAGTCCAGCACTGAATTTCTGGAAAGAGGGGAGGGGATATCGAATCAGGAAACAGGAGAGAAAACAGGAAAGAAAACAAAACATGTCTACAAAAATTTTAAACCTACAATTTAAACTGTTAATGCTGGTTACCCTGGGCCTTGCATTAAAGTGGAGTGTGGGGTGGAACCTGGAAAGAGCCATGTCTGAAAAAGCAGGATATTTCTTCAATAAAGGAGCCACAGCAACACTTCTGTGGTCGAAACCTAATTTCTCAATGAAATACTCACTATAAGTAACCATTCTGGATTAAAACAAAATAGTGTAGAAAGAGAACCTAGAGCTAGAAAAAAGGCATGTGAACCCATGCTGGGGAAGCTGAGCAGGAGGTAAACAGTAGAAGAGAGGAAGAGATCAAGAAATGAATATCATATTCTGATGCTACAAACTCTTCATTCAGCTTGTCTTCCATCCCCAGGAGAATGTCAACATAGCCATAAAAGTGATCCCAGCACTTTGGGAGGCCTGTAACCCCAGCACTTTGGGAGGCCGAGGCGGGTGGATCACCTGAGATTGGGAATTTGAGACCAGCCTGGCCATCATAGTGAAACCCTGTCTACTAAAAACACAAAAATCAGCTGGGCATGGTGACGTGTACCTGTAATCCCAGCTACTTGGGAGACTGAGGCGGAGAATTGCTTGAACCTGGGAGGCAGAGGTTGCAGTAAGCCGAGATCGTGCCACTGCACTCCAGCCTGGGTGACAGAGCAAGACTTTGTCTCAAAACAACAACAACAAAAAAAAAGGAATAGAAAAGAAATGACAAAAGAATTAGCACACTGAAAAGTGTCTAGCATGTGGTAGGTGCTCAGTGGTTGAATAACTACTGAGTCAATAAATGAATGAAGAGAAATGATAATAGGAGATAGAGTACAATTTTATGAATGAAATCCTTTATGGGAACATATATTTATCACAAGTTCCCGAGAGTTGAACTTGAACTTGAACTACTTCTTCCTTGATGAAATAAACCTCAAATTAATTGCTGTGCACCCTCCAAATCCTTTGTTCCTCTGTCCTGTCATTTTGTTTTCATTACCAAGAGAAGAAAAATTTATGGAAGATGCCGAAAAAATACTCCTGATTGGTTGATTTTGCTGTTAAGTGTAAAAGTTTAAAAGTCAAAGCTAATTTCAAGCTTCCTAAGTCCTCGTCTCCTCCATGCTCTTGTCTAAGGGATGGTTTGGCTCTAAGCCTCTCTCTTTAATGGAACACAAACCCCAGATGACACCAATGCATTCTCACAATAATACTTAGAAGCGGTAGGTTGATCCAACTTGAGGAATTAGCTGAATTATAGGGTAAATCAGGATATTTGGGGAATATACACCTATGACACCATTCACCTGGAGGACCCTTAAACATGTTGAATCTCCTACTTGTGTATCACCTATTTGTGTTGCACAGTTTGCAAATCACGTCTTCCACAACAGAATGAGTTAAGAAGAATCTCTCCAGAGAGAAAGCACATCTTACTCTCACTTACCAAACAACAAGCCTTATAACAGAGAGACATCATAGCATGGTGGCTAAGAGAAAGAACTCTGGAACAAACTGCCTATTCAGGTCCCAGCTTCACCACAATTAACTGAGTGGCCTTGAACAAGTTAATATGGGCATCACATGCAATATGGAGTTAACAGCACTGACACCACTGACACAGACAATTATTATCTCATTAAATACGATAATTCATGAATATGGCACATAGCACATGCTCTACAAATGTTAGCTATCATAAGAATGAGTTTGATTTCCTAGTAACTACTTACTGACAAAATCCAACCTTCATTTTTCTGACTGGTTGGTACCCTTATAATTTCATCAATTAAAAGAAAGTAACCAAGGGCCAAGGGTCAGTGATGCAGCAATAAGAAAAAAAAGGGCCAGCAACTCTTGGGATTCTTCTAGCTGGAACAGTATTTAGGGAGAGAAACAGTCTTTTGTAATCACTCTGCTCAACAGTCAGTGCAGGTCCACCCACCAGGGTCCCTAAAGAGTCACTGTAAGCTCACTCCATTCTTCTAGAGAATGCTCATTGACTTGGCAAACAGTAGTATGTTCAGAATTGCTATGTTCCATAAAAAGAGTTTAATATCTTCAGATCAGCTCCAGAAATTATTTGTAAGTCATTTGTGTAGAACAAAAATGACATTGATAAGGTTTGGCTGTATCCTCACCTAAATCTCATCTTGAATTGTAGTTTCCATAATCCCCATGGGTCATGGGAGGGACTAGGCGGAGATAATTGAATCATGTGGGTGGTTCCCCTATCCTGTTCTTGTGATAATGAGTTAGTTCTCACGAGATCTGATGGTTTTATAAGGGGCTTCTCTCTTTGCTGGGCACTTATTCTTCTTCCTGCCACCATGTGAAGGACCTGTTTGCCACCATGACTGTAAGTTTCCTGAGGCCTCTCCAGCCCTGTGGAACTGTGAGTTGATTAAACCTCTTTCCTTTATAAATTAACCAGTCTTGGGAATGTCTTTATTAGCAGCATGAGAACAGACTAATATAATATTACAAAGAATATAGGTTTTTGGAATCAGAAGACCTACATTCAAGATTCTGCTTTCCCACTTACTAACTCTGTTACTTCAGGCAAGTTGCTGACCCTAAGCTCTGAGATGGAAACAATAGTAACACCTGGCCTACACACTGATGGCAGGAGCCATAGGACTCCTGGATAAAACAGACAAAAAGGTCTCATCAAATTTTTTAGTGGAAAAAGTGGGAAACCATAAAGCCATAAACAATTTTAGCTATCATTATTATCATGTGGCTATCAACTTCCCAAATTCCCATAGTGCAGAGTGAGAAAATAAAAAATAAATTAACAAAATCTATAAAGACTTCCCTCTTGCTCCTAGCTACATCCCTTAGATTTAGTCCTGCCCCTATATAAGCAAAATAACTGCATGTAACTGGTTTCACCTGTGTGTGTACACTGACTGCTAGGGACACAGCAAGGGGTCCAGAAAGGGGGAACAGAAAGGGCCATTTAGGGAATGGCCACCAAACAAAAAGGCAGATCTCTGGTAGACTAGGAGTCTCTGAACTCCCTGGTTGGTTTGGGCTTAAAATACTTTTCATAAAAACACAAAAAATGCCACACAATTTCAGACCTATGGTATTTTTAGCCCATATTCTATTTCTGATTCTGATGTCAAAAGACACTGGAAGGATGTTCTGATAACTATCCTCAAGGTTGAAGTATCCCTATATCAAGTTAACCTCCCTCTAGAAGTCTATTGTAGAATCAAGAAACATTTCCAGAACCTCTCATATTTCCAGCTGACAGGGTGAGACATCCCACTGGCAATTGCCCAACTGCATTCTTCTCTGGTTTGGATAATTAAGTAGATACCAAGCAGGAAGGTGGGCATGCTAGAATCAAGGTTGTCAGTCAGACTTGGTCCAGAGGTCCCAGTGGGTGAGGTCTACTAATTCAATGCATATCTTTTTTCTTTTCGTTTTTTTTTTTTTTTTTTTTTTTTACCTTCTCTTTGGCCCTGAGTTGGTCAAACATCTCCTGAATCTCATGTTTCCAGTCATCCTGCAGGCAGTGGAAGGAGTCCTTGGGCATTTCAAAGAAACCAGACTCCTCTATGGTGGTCAGCTGGTCCAGGATATTCGTGAAAGATGGTCGTGAGTGGGGATCAGGATTCCAGCAGTCTGAATAGAACATGTGAATACTCAGACAGCATGAATGGTCAGAGGCAAACATATAAGACTCAGGCTATTACATGGCCTCACTTCCCAGAAAACTACCTCTTACTTCTTCCAGAAACAGAGATTAGAATTTAGGTAACCTCAAATAAGGCTCAGGAAGTGAAGCAAACTGCCCACCATTACAACCATAATGAGTGAAAACGGAAATGAAATGCAGCAGTTCTGTACTCATTCCATTTTGGCTGCTAATTAAGGGTAAGAAAAGTGAGCCCAAAGAGTTTTCTTATGCAAAGCACCACCACAACACAACTTACCATGTTACTACCTGATTCAAGAATAGACAAATGGGGAATGATGCCCTGGGCTTCAGTTTCCCATAAATAAATGAATTAGCCTTCCCCCACCCACAATAGGATGATGAGGAGGCGAGGATGAAAAGCATTCTAGTGGGAGTCAGGGAAAGTGAATTCTATCTAATCCCAGCTCAGCCACTCCCTAATGGGGCGGCCACCTATCTACTCAATTTCGCTTAGCTTTAGATTCCTTAGTTACAAAATTATGGGGTTTGACTAGATGACTTTTAGAGTTCTTTCTCTGAAGATATTCTTCACATCTCTTAAGGTATTCAGAGGTCCTGACATAAAAGTTACTGTACTTTCTGATTTTGCACTACATAATAATATGCTAAATACTGGATAGCAGGCTTTTGTTACTAATTTCACTTCTACAGTCCCTGGAGATGTGACCTCCTTGCAGCAGGGTGTGGACGTCATCTTGAAGCCTTTCCAGTCGCCCATAGGATTCCTCCTTAGGTGACTGAAACTTTATCTCCTCTTTCAGTAACTGATCTCATAGAATTGGCCAAACTCTACCCAGTGCTTATAAGAGGCAAAGTGTCTCCAGTTTGGTTCAGGCCAGGGTTTACTTACCTTCCATGAGTTTGGCAAAAGGCTCTGGGCATGTGGAAGGAATAGGAAGGGCGAGTTTGTTCATGGCCACTCCATAAGCGACCGCTAAGCCATCAATGCCTCGAAAGGGCACCTCACCAGTCAGTAACTCCCAAAGTAGCACCCCGTAGCTAAGGAGAGGAAGAAGACAGAAGCCATGTAATAAACTTCAGGTACAACTTCACTGCAATAGCTCATGAGTCTTTTCTGAGCATCCCACATTCTCCCCAACACATAGTGAGACTAATGAAACAGAAATACTAATGTGATATAAAAGGGAAACCATAAAGCCTACTAGCTAAAAGCAAAATCTCTGCAGTCAAGTATACTTGCTTGGTTTTCAAGTTTTCTTCCATAATTCCTTAGCTATATGACCTTGGGCAAGGCACTACACCTCTTTAAGCCTCTAATTCCTCATCTGTAAAGCACAAATAACACTATCAGTCTGGCAAGGCTATTGTTGAATTAAATGAGCTACTATAGTGTTTAAGTAAGTGCCCAATGGCCATAGCTCTTTCGTTATCATTATTGTTTTGTTTTGTTTTTAAGATGGAGTTTCGCTCTGTCGCTGAGGCTGGAGTGCAGTGGTGCGATCTCGGCTCACTGCAACCCCCATTTCCTGGGTTCAAGAGATTCTCCTGCCTCCACCTCCTGAGTAGCTGGGATTACAGGCGTGCGCCACCATGCCTGGCTAATTTTTGTATTTTTTGTAGAGACAGGGTTTTACCACATTGGCCAGGCTGGTCTCTGAAACTCCTGACCTCCTGTGATCCTCCCGCCTCAGCCTCTCAAAGTGCTGAGATTATAGGCATGAGCCACCACATCTGGCCTATTATCATTATTATTAAAGAAATAAACTGGGAGAAGAGGCAGCCTCCCAAGTATAATTTTTTTCTGTTTTAAGAAAACTTCAGCTTTTGTCACAGATACATTTTTTTCCCCAAAGTGCTAGGATTAACACATTTTTTTTTTTAGCTTTACAAAAAAGCAGAGTGCTAATCACTCAAAGCAGATTTTGCTCCTATAAAAGATTTCTTTAAATGCCCACTAGGTTGAATAGATTTCTGTCCCCAGATCAGTGTGAGTGGGTTCTTAACGGAGATCTTTGTCTAATTCAAAGAGAAAAGTTTCACAAGGGTAGACCACATCGGTAGAACAGAGCAGCGCATCAGCTGCGAGAACTTCAGTGTGCCCTCCCTATCTTTCAAGTCCACATAAAGAACTTCTTTTCTCATGTCCGATGAGTCAGTGAATGTGGAGTACAAAGCTTAATGGAAGAATTATTCTGTGAATTCACGATCAGAACCAGACACAATCACACAGCACTCAGTCCTTCCAGGAATAAGTCAGGACGAGAAACCACAAGGCTATGAATAGTTAGAAGAATGGCTCTCCTTATGTTTTCAACACCAAACTCAACAATAAGTCTTGCAACCAGTAACAAAGGTCATATTCATTTAAACAATAATAATAGGACAGGCGTGGTGGCTCACGTCTGTAATCTCAGACTGTCAATTCAGCCTTTGGGAGGCCAAAGCAGGGAGATCACTTGAGGTCAGGAGTTCAATACCAGCCTGGCCAACATGGCGGAACTCCATCTCCACTAAAAATACAAAAGTTAGCCAGGTGTGGTGGTGGTGCATGCCTGTAATCCCAGCTACTTGGGAGGCTGAGGTAGGATGGTCACTTGAATCTAGGAGGCGAACGTTGCAGTAAGCCAAGATCACACCACTGCACTCTAGCCTGGGTGACAGAGTGAGACTCTGTTTCAAAATAATCAATAATAATAATAACAATAAATCCAGTAGCTATTTATCACGAAACTTTATATGTGAAGACTGCGAAGACACTTTACAAACATCACTGTGAATCTCTACAATTCTGATAGGTATTATCAACATTTTGCACATAAGGAAAGCAAGTTTTAGACATGTTTAGGAGCGTTTTACTAAGGGCATACACAGAGTAAGTACATCATGGTGGGCCCAGACCAATTGTCAATTTCTTCCCCCTAGAATACCTTCTACCATTTCTCTGCTTGGTAAACTCTAATCATCTTTCAAGATCCAACTCAAATGTCCCACCATTTATTCATTCATCAGATGATGGCTTTACCCCAGTGAGGCCTTCAAATACTATCATTTTCTTTATGCATCTTACCAGGAAAAACCAAAACGCCTGGTAGCTAGCTGGTCTTGACTTGTCTAGACGGGAGATGGATTTTAGTTTGGGGGCTTATGGGAACAGCGTTGGACACTTTATGATGCCTTCCCAACATCCCCAGATGTTACTCAGCCTGTTTGGGCTGCCATGCATTGTAGTTGTTTGTCTGCTAGCCTATGGGCTCCTAAAGACCAGGGAAAATTGTTTTTAATCTTTGCATTCTCAGGACCTAGCCCAAGCTCTGCTACACAGGAAGCACTCATAGATGTGTGAGTGAGTGGGTGTGTGGGTATGGGAGTGAGCGCATGGTCAGACAGTCCTGCAGGCTGCCCTGGGTCCTCTAGAGGAAAACCCAAACATCATCAAGAATTGCACTATTACACTTCCTGACAAACCTTTCATGTGACTTATCCAGGTAGTGGTCATGCTGGGGAGCTTCTACCAGGTGACCTCCAGGAACTCTCAGCACTGCCAACCAGATTCCTAGGTCAAAGCCACTGTTATCCTCCATTGCTTGCTCTTGGAATTAATGCCCACCTCCATCCTGGAGAATAAAAACCAAAGGTCCCACAGAACCCCTTTCTCCCAACCAGGCAAAGACAGTGGTATCTGGGCCCTAACTACCTGGAAAGATCACAGAGTGTTTCATGTTCTGTTTGTGTCCCTGCATCCCTTCTGTGACAGTTTCAAGTGTCCTGTGAAGGTGTCTCAGACCTTCCGGAAGCAAGTGGGGGCAGTGAGGTCGGGAGGGGGGGACGGTTATGGGACTGGGACTGGCCCTGTTGGCTCCAGCCAGGGCAGCTCTAGGCTTGTTTCTTCACTTCAGAGGTTCTACAGCTAAAAGGAATGTTAGAACTACTGCCCAAGTAGGCAGAATGCTACCAGAGAAAGATTTAGACAGACTCAGGTCAAATGCCTGTTTTATCACTTAACAGCTATGTGCCATTAGAAGCAAAGTCGCCTCTCCAAACCTAATTTCCTCATCCCTATAACAAAGACAGCAATACTGACCCTACAGAAGAGTTACAAGGAATCATTAACACTAACAACTAACCCTCATCCAGAAATTACCATCTATGGCTAGTAGACCTGTGGTTTTTCTGAAAGGGCCTGAAATGAGAATGTGTCTGAGGAGTCTTATGTAGAGCTACAGTGTTGGTGAGAGCTTTGCTGAGGGACACTGGCATTCAGAGAAGAAGGCTTTCTGGGGCTGACTACACTAGTTTTCCTCTGCCAATGTCCCTCTTTATTTTTACAATGGAAGGTGGGTGATATAAATGAAGACTTGGTATTCTGTTGGCAGGAACAAAGACTGGAGAAATTCAAGAGAAATACAAGTTTACATGGATCTGAGCTCCAGGGAGAGGTGGGCAGTAGAAGTGGATGTGATTTACCTCAGGTTTAGCCAACTTAGTTGCCCTCCCAAGGTTAAAAGGTCAAGAAGTCCTTTGAAGACCATTTGCAAGCAGCCTGGAAGAACTCGTTCAGCTAAGTCACTGCCTCCGAGTGCCTCCCCGCAACATAGACCCACCAGCTCCCACAGTGCTGCCAGTAATTTCCTAAAAGTCCTCACTGCCTAACTCAACCCTCAGAGAATTTACTCTTAGTCAATAATTAATCACCTCCAGAGTCTTGGTAATCCCTTCAATCATTTCCTAGGATCAGAGGTGGAGGAGGGGTGTTTCATGTTTTTTCAAAGTGAGGAAAAGTGGACAGCCACCTTTCTTGACAAAAGGCACAGCAACTCCATGCCTGTGCTGGGCCAGAGCTCTATTTTGTAGTAACCTGCACCATCTCTCCACTGTCAGGTCAGGGTCCATGCTCTGAAAGGAGGTGACCAGTCTCCCTTGAATGAGGTGGGCTGGGGAATGTCTTGCACTTGGTAATTATCTGTGATTCTACATTCTAGGAACCATACTGACTGTTTAATAATCTTTGACAAAGATAATTATACTAACATATGTGAAAGCACTTTGTAAATTGAAAGTAGCATATAATTCTTCTTAACTGAACCCTCATTCAAAACGATATATTAACATATATGTAATATATATATATTGATAAACTTATTGACATAACAACATATTTATTAATGTGATTATATGTTCATGCTACATTACATTCAAAAAGCAACTTACAAAACAGAAAGATCCCACTAGGGATAGGCCCACGAGCACATGAATAGGAGTAAACACACCCAAATATCAATACACATTATCTCTATAAGTGGGTTCAGGGTGATTTTCTTTTCCTGTCTTTTCTTGTTTATCCATATTTTCAAATTTTTTCTATAGAAAACATTTTACTATTGTAATTTTGAGACAGAGTCTTGCTCTGTCGCCCAGGCTGGAGTGCAGTGGTGCTATCTCGGCTCACTGCAAGCTCCGCCTTCCGGTTCATGCCATTCTCCTGTCTCAGCGTCCCGAGTAGCTGGGACTACAGGCACCCACCACCACGCCCGGCTAATTTTCTGTATTTTTAGTAGAGACTGGGTTTCACCACATTAGCTAGGATAGTCTCAATCTCCTGACCTCGTGATCTGCCCGCCTCAGCCTCCCAAAGTGCTGGGATTATAGGCATAAGCCACCATGCCTGGCCACAACTGTAATTTTTTAAACTTAAAATGATTAAGAAAATGCCTCCACCTCATTCCACATCCAACAGGCAAGAAGGCCTTGTGGGATGACGCCCTCTGACTGTAACACTGCTCTACCCACACAGCGCAAAGAAAGGGAACAATTTCAGCAACAGCCACTTGAGGCAGTTCCCGATCCAAGCAGACTGGGGAACTTACACAGTTAAGGATCCAGCCCTTTATTATCTCACCCTCCATCACAACATTTGCAGGAGAACTTTAGAAGCACACTCAAAGAGCAGAAAGACAAACCAGTTGGCCCTGGGCACCTGGAATAGCGGAGGCACAGAGGCCCCCAGCTTTGGATGAGTTCCAGGAGGAGCGAGGTGTGGG